GCCTTGCAGAGTTTTTTTTGTTTTGTTTTTTGTTTTGGTTTTTTGAGACAGGCTCACTATGTAGTTGAGACTGAACTAGAACTCACTGTGTAGCCCAGGGTGGTCTTGAACTCACAGCAATCCTCCTGCCTCAGCCTTCCGAGTGCTGGGATTACAGGCGTGCACCACCACACCCGGCTTCACCTTGCAGAATTTTGACATGACATAGAAGGCTTTTCATAATTAGGAATAATATTTTAAGCAGGTGGGGGGGATAATATTTTAGGAGCCAAAGGCACATGCCTGTTATTCCAGCACTCAGGAGGCTGAGGCAGAAAGACAGGGAGCTAGAAACCAGCCTGGACTAAATAGTAAGATCCTGTCTCAAACAACGCCCCTAAAAAAAACAGTTTTAGAGGGCCAGGGATTTAGCGCAGTGCCACTGTGCCTGCCACTCAATCACAAAGTCCTGAGTTCGATCCCTGGTACTAAAAACAAAAACAAAACCATTTTAGGAAAATTAATGTGGACTCAGTGTTAATGGAAATTACATGCCAGTGTAAAATGATGGCCTGATTATAGATTGATAGTTTATAGCATATAGTCAAATGACTTAATTTTTTCCAAAGGAATGGTGATACTATTGACCAAAGGCTTTGAATGTTTCTAGATAAATAATAGTGCTGAAATTTCTTCAATGGGAATATTAACATTGTTTTATTTACCTTAGTTCTGAAATATTTTCTTAAAGATTAAAGACAATTTGTATTTTACATAATTAATAAATTCAGTAACACACCTGCCAAGATAAAATTCACACATTATAAAATTTGCTCTTATAGTATACAATACAGTGTTTGCTAGTATATTCACTGATTTGCAGCCAAGCCCTCTGTCTAATTTTGGAACATTTTCATCACCTCAAAAGATAACTCATAATATATGCTTCATATTTAAGACAGCAGTCCATTTTTTATCTAAAAAAGAAACATACTTGAATAGTAAACTTGTGTTCATATTGAGCCAATTTTTAAAATTCAATCAAGATTTACTACAAAGACTACATGAGAAAACATTGCAAAAGTTATTTTCTCTTTTAATAGTTGAAATTCTCAAACATTTGATTTATGGATTTAAGTAATTCCTTATGTCATAAACAAGATGGCTCGGCAAATATTTTCTTCAACATGAGATTTTAAATCAAGCATAGTCTTTTTGTTAAGTGTTAGAAGAAATATAAAGTCTACTCTTTAAATTGCCAAGAAAATACTTCTAGGAGGCGTCTAAGTTTGCCTAGAAAACTTGAATCACTTTCTCCTTTCATTGAAGATGCCAGTGACAGTGGACGTTCTTATAAAACAGTCTTGGACCGCTGGAGAGAGTCACTCCTTTCCTCTGCCAGCCTATCCCAAGTCTTCCTTCACTTATCCACCTTGGATCGCAGTGTGATCTGGTCTAAATCAATACTTAATGCTCGCTGCAAGATATGCCGTAAGAAGGGGGATGCTGAGAACATGGTACTTTGCGATGGCTGTGATAGGGGGCATCATACCTACTGTGTTCGACCAAAGCTCAAGGTATTTTTTTTCTCTTCTCAGATTAGAATTAAGACACTGAAATGTTGAGCAGTAGGTGATAATGATCATTTATGTGATTTGTTCAGACTGTGCCTGATGGAGATTGGTTTTGTCCCGAATGTCGCCCAAAGCAACGTTCTAGAAGACTCTCTTCTAGACAGAGACCATCCTTGGAAAGTGATGAAGAAATGGGAGAGAGTCTGGAGGGTGAGGAGCATGAAGTCGATGATGATGAAGAGTACCAAAGTGAGGAGGAAGAATATGAGGTAGAACGAGATGAAGATGACTCTCAAGAAGAGGAGGAAATCAGGTAAGTCCTCATATGCAATTGAATGAGTCTGGCAGTCTTAATTAGTTTTTTTTTTTTTTTTTTTTTTGTACCAGGGATCGAACTCAGGCCCTTGTGCTTGCAAGGCAGGTGTGGTGCCACTGAGCTAAATCTCTAGCCCAATTAGGTAATCTTTTGATTAGTCACACGGAATAGTTGATGTCCATAAATTTTTTCTTTATATATATATATATATATATATATATATATCATATGATAAACATTCTAAAACATTCCCAAGGGGTATTGTTTACCTTGGTAGCCCACAGAGAGAGAGCCAAGAGCATGTGCTGTCAGGATTCTTCCTTCTGCTTGTTCTATCTGGGTGGACTCCTATCAGATTAAATGGGGCCGCCCACATGCAGGGTGGGTCTCCCCATCAGTCTGCCTTCCTCATGACAGTCACCTGGAAACATGCTCACAGACACTCCCAGAACAGCTTTACTGAGTTCCTGGGTGTTTCTCAAGCTAGTCAAGTTGACAAGAGTGATCATCATACTGTGTTGCTAGGCCTGCTAAATGAGTATGGAGCCTGGATTTGCCTGCCCTTGCGGCACTGAGACACTTTCCCCTTATTTGACCATTTGTTGCAGGGCTGAAATGAAGGGGCATTTAGTTTTACTAGGGATTTTCTGTGAGCAAGCCTGGCTACAGCCATACCTGGGGAACTGCTTTTTGTTCTTTTTTGCTCCTTTCCCTTTTCAAACATGTGAATCCTGCTGTTGTGGAATCATGTTTTTAATTAAAGGAATTAAAAGATTACATCTAGTTTTATATTTTATAGTCAGAATCAGAATGGAGCAAAAAGGTTCTTGGCTTGGTATTCAGGAAACCACAAGTTGAAGGCTCACTTTGGGGTCAGCCGTTGGCTGCTGCTAGCTACCTCTATATCAATGCTAATGAAAATCCGTAGAATCCTGGGCCAGGGATTTAGCTCAGTGGTGCCCCTGCCTGCTTCACAAGCACAAGGTCCTGAGTTGGATTCCCAGTACCACGAAAAGAAAATTAATAGACTCCTGCTACAAAAAGAGACAAAATAATTGTACTTTATGATTAGCTTATCACTCTCAGGTTTTTCAGGACTGTCGGCTAGGTCTTTTGATTCTCCTGAGGCTTTATTTTAGCTTGTCATCATTTAGGACTTGATTTCCATGATGATATCCTGCAGTCAAAAGTATGTTCATCATAATTTTGTACAATAATTGTGTTTTCTAATGATATTTGTAGCCCACCAAAACGAGGAAGACCACAGGTTAGATTGCCAATTAAGACAAGAGGGAGATTTAGCTCTTCTTTCTCGAGTCGCGGCAAACAAGAAGATCCTAGAAGATACCCTTCAAGGAGTCACCAGAGTACGCCCAAAACAACTGTTTCCTCTAGAACCACTGGTAGAAACCTAAGAAAGATAAGATCTGCTCCTCCTGCAGAAACGAAATCTTCAAGAATTGCCAGTCGTTCTACTCGTCACAGTTATGGCACAGAGCAAGCAGATGTATTTGTGGAACTCCTTAGTCCTCACAGAAAACGCAGAGGCAGAAGAAGTGCCAATGACACCCCAGAGAACAGCCCCAGCTTCCCCAACATCAGAGTTATCCCCGTTAAGGCAGGTGAAGAGTCAAGATCTTTAAATATCACTTCAAGACTTTGTCTCCAGGATAGTGAATCCAAGAGGAGAGGCAGGAAAAGACAATCCACAGGTACAAAATTTAACTTAAACTCTTTCTTTAAAAAGCTGATTTGGAAAAAAAATAAAATAAATGAAAAACTGATCTGGGGCTGGGGATTTAGCTCAATAGTTCCGCCTTCTACCTTGCCAAGTGTGAGGTCCCAAGTTCGATCCCCAGTACCAAAAAAATAATAAATAAAAATTTTGGGGGCCTGGGATTTAGCTCAGGGGTTCAGTGGCCTGCTTCACAAGCACAAGGACCCGAGTTTGATCCCCGGTACCAAAAAAAAAAAAAAAATTTTTTTAACTGATCTTCCAGGTGCAGTGACACACACTTGTAATCCCAGCACTCAGGAGGCTGAGGCAGGATGATTGCCATGAGTGCAAGGGTAGCCTAGCCTACATAGTGAGTTCAAGGTCTGCCTGAGCTACATAACAAGGCCCTGCCCCCCGCCAAAAAAAGAATGATCTGAAAATATTGAATGCTGACATACTTTGGGTCATTTTTAAAGGGCTATACTAAGATACATGAAGTTGGGCCAGTGATTTGGCTCAGTGGCACCATGTCTGCCTCACAAGTGCAAGGTCCTAAGTTCCATTCCTGATACCAAAAAAAAAAAAAAAGATACATAAAGTTATTAGGGAGCAGTCTGACCTCTAGTATACTATTGATTGAAGAGGCAGCTATTTGGGAAATAAAGGTAAACTAACTATCATTAGGCTTTCTACTAGTGTAGCAGGGTAATGCAGTACACTTGCATATAGTGTTCTGTTTCTAATGGAGGTATCTGGCCAATATTTTAAAAGTTTTACTGTTACATATTTCGGTCTCTCCCACCTTTTCTTCCCTCAAACATGTATCACCTAGGCAAGCTCCATTAGGCTAAAGATATGGTGTCCATCGAAGTACTAGCTCCTGGAGCAGGTTGAAGGCAATAAAATGTTTAAGAAGTGGTCACCAGCTATCTTTTTAATTGTGATTTTTGTTTATAGTAATATTTATCAGCTGGGTGTGATGGCACACGCTTGTAATCCCAGCACTCAGGAGGCTGAGGCAGAAGGATCTCTGTAAATTCAAGGCCAACCTAGACAACATAGTGAGTTTAGGGCTAACCTGAACTACAAAAGGAGATCCTGCCTCAAAAAGAACAAAAAAAGCCAGCGATTTAGCACAGTGGCATCATGCCTGCCTTACAAGTACAAGGTCCTGAGTTCAATCCCCAATACCAAAAAAAAAAAAAAAAAAAGTAAAATTTATCTATATAATAATCAACGTAGGGGCCAGGGATTTAGCTCAGTGGTTCCGCCGCCTGCCTCGCAAGCTCAAGGACCCAAGTTCAATCCCCGATACCAAAAAAAATAATAATAATAATAATCAATTTACTCATTTTTGGTTGTTTTTTTATGGTTTTTGTGCTGGGGATTGAACCCAAGGCCTCCGGCATGCTAAACACATGCTCTACCAATGAGCTACGAGCACGTTCCTCTTTATTTACTCTTTATTTCTTCAATTCTATCCTGTTTTTAAGTGAGTAACAATAAAACTTTGATATCTGCTAGGCATGGTAGTACACTCCTGTAATCCCAGCACTCTAAGGGCTGAGACAGGAGGATTGCTATGAGTTGGAGGCCAGCCTAGGCTACAATAGTGAGTTCAAGGCCAGCCTGAACTACATAACAAAACCCTGTCCCAAAAAAGCAAAACAAGCCGAGTGTGGTGGCACACGCCTGTTATCCCAGCACTCAGGAGGCTGAGGGCAGGAGGATTGCTGAGAGTTCAAGACCAGCCTGAGCTACATAGTGAGTTCCAGGTCAGTCTCAACTACATAGTGGGACCCTGTCTCAAAAAACCAAAAAAGAAGTCAAAACAAAAAACTTTGATATTTTAAAAAATGAAGTTAAGTGTTTTTTTTAAATGCTATTGTTTTTCAAAATAATTGTGGATAAGTTGTATTATTCACATACAAGAAGGAATTCAGTGGTATAAAAATGGCACATACTCTTTTTATTCAGGTACCAGATGGTGGTTTGGGTTTTGTTTCTAGTTTTTTGGTTTTAGCTTTTGATAGTACTGAGAATTAAACACAAGGGCTTTGTACTGGACTGCATCCCAGCCCTTCTTTTATTCTTTCTTTTCATTTTGAGACAGTTCCTTCGGGCTGGTTTGAACTTGGGATCATCGTGCCTCAGCTTCCAGAGTGCTGTAATTACAGGTGTGTGCTAACCACACCGGCTAGATTATAAAGTTTTTTAGGGGAAATATTAAGTAATTTTGTGCCAGGAAAATCTAATTTAGCTTTTATTACATTCTTGTCAATTCTGAATTTCTTGCTATTTAGTGAAATAATCCACTTGAATATTCTTATTCAAAAAAACTCTGCAGAAGAAAAACATTTTTGTTATTGATTTGTGGAACTACTAACTCTATTCTAGCAACAAATAATGGGGAAAGTGTGTGGCCTACAAGGAGAGAATTTAAACACCTGAATTCCTAAGAGTACATGGACTATACTGCCTTTTTTTGAAACAGGGTCTCAATATGTAGTCCAGGCTGACCTCGAACTTGAAAATGATCCTCCTGCCTCAGCCTCCCAAGTGCTGAGATTACAGGTGTCTGCCACCACACCCAGCATATACTACCCTTTTCTTAGGTTTCATTATACCTTTCTTGGATCTGTGAAAAAGTATTTTGCCTTAAGAAAAATTTTCATATACTGAAATTAAGATTTTTTTTTTTTAAGGATAATCTTTGCCAGGCATGGTAGTGCTCACTTATAATACCAGCACTCTGAAGGCTGAGGCAGGAGGATCATCACTAGATCAAGGCTAGCCTGGGCTAGTGAGTTCAAGGCCAGCCCAGACTATATAGTGAGACCCTGTCTCAAAACAAAGAAACAAAAAAGAATAATCTTTTACTTTATTACCAATCGCTTTTCTGCCATGCAAAGTAATTTACATAGAGACCTGGTTTCCAGATCTGAAGTGGTTACTTTCTTGGTTTTGTTTTGTTTTGTTTTGTTTTGTTTTGTTTTGAAAGATGTGTTTATTTAAGTATCAATTTATATTCTGCCAAAATCTACTAAGTGTGAGATTTGACAGATGCCCAATCATGTAACTACCACCCTAATCAAGTAGAACAACTGTGCTTCACTTCTCAGACTTTTGGCTAAGATTAAGTGAAGTAGAACAACTGTGGAACAAGATGTGAACATGAAAAAAAATCCCTCATGTTTCTTTGCATTCAACCTCTCCCTGATTTCTTGAAATCTATTCATGTTGCCAAAAGGATAAAATCTAATCACTAAAATGACCTTTTCATATAAAATACACAGGACTATGTTTTTTAAAAAGCAAGATACTTTAAATAGTTGTGAAATAGCTAGTTAGAATTGTTCTAACTGACCTTAATAAACTAGTCTTTGTAGAATATATGAATCAAGATAAGTTTCAGACTAGGGCTAGTTGGTTAAAAAAAAACTAAATAATGGAATTTAATTCTACAGAAATTAGTCTCTGTGGGGCTGAATGTGCTAAAAGGCAAAGAGGCACAAAACTCTCAGATACATGTTTCTGTGTATAATTGGATCTTTGTCAAAATTCACCCCTGCTACAATAGGCGAAGGGTAAAATCTCTACTTTGCCTGTAGTCAGATAACACCTTATCTACTTGAAAAGCTTCACCAATTCTTCCAAACACCAGACCTTATGTTTATCAGCATCTTGAACTCCACTGAACCCAGGAGCACATGCAGCCAAAAAGCTAAATTTTAATTTTTTTAATTTTATTTTATCCCATACCCCCTCAAGCCCCTCCCAAATGTACAAAAGCATTGTTTCCATTTGCCTTCTATTTTCATTTTTTTCTTGTCCCTTCCTTTCTCCTTCCCTCTTCTCTTGCTCCCCTTCCCATTTGAACACTTTCTTCTGATTTCCCAACGCCCACTATTACATCTCAGTCCTTATTTCCATGTTCAGTTTCTCACACCAGAGAAACAATATGGTATTTAAACATGTGTGTCCAATTTATTTCCCTTAAGAGTAGGGTCTCGAGTTCCATCCATTTAGCTATAAATGTCTGAAGCTGCCAGGTGTGGTGGTGCACACCTGTAACCCCTGCACTCGGGAGGCTGAGGCAGGAGGATCGCTGTGAGTTCGAGACCAGCCTGGGCTACATAGTGAGTTCCAGGTCAGTCTCAACTACATAGTGAGACCCTGTCTCAAAAACAAAAATAAATAAATAAATGTCTGAAGCTCATCCTTCTTCGTGGCAGAGCGGTATTCCACTATATTTTTAAAAATACATCTTTTTTATCTATTCATCAGTTGACATGCATATGAGCTGTTTCCAATATTTAGCTATTACAAACTGTGCCGCTATAAACATGGGTGTGCATATATCACTGTGGTATGATGCTTTTGATTCTTTTGGAAAGTTACCAAGAAGAGGAATAGCTGGGTCAAATGGAACCTCTAGTTTTAGTTTTTTGAGAATTCTCCACCCTGATCTCCACAGGGGTTGCACCAGTCTGCACTCCCACCAGCAGTGGAGCAGGGTTCCTTGTTCTCCATGGTCCCTCCAGCATTTTGTTTTGTTTTTTGAGACAGGGTCTCACTATGTAGTTAACACTGCTCTGGAACTCACTGCGTAGCCCATGCTGGTCTCAAACTCACAGTGATCCTCCTGCCTCAGCCTCCTGAGTGCTGGGATTACAGGTGTGCGCCACACCACGCCTGGCTTCAGCACTTGTTATTGGTTAATTTCTTGATAATGGCCATTCTTTCTGGAGTGAGATGGAATCTCAGCATTGTTTTAATTTGCATCTCTCAAATGACCAGTAATGTTGAACATTTTTTAATATATTTATTTCCCATTTCTAATTCTATATCTGAGAAGTGTCTTTTTATTTCAGATGCCCACTTTTGCACTGGGTCTAAATTTTGGGGGTCTGGTTTTTTTTTAGTCTTTATACATTCTAGATAATAGTCTTTTACCTGAATAGCTGTGTTTTGAAGTTTTATTAAGAATATAATATGCTGTAAGAAATACTAAAGAATTACTTTATTTCATTTTATTGTAGTTGAAAATATTTTTAATAAAATGGAGTAAAAATACATAACCATTGTGTTCTAGATTTTTATTTTGTACCATTCTTTTTATGATCTATTCCTATAAATGTTTAATTCAGTTGAAAATTTTTAAGATCAAAAAGGAAATATGACTTAGTGGTGCTGTGCCTGCCTAGCAAGGGCAAGTCCTGAGTTCAGTCCCTGGTACTGCAAAAAAAAAAAGGAAATACGAGTATTGGTCCAGATTTTCAAATTTCATCAAAAATAACTTAGTTGTCAACTGTTTACAGAGTATCTATTTTGTTCGAGTTTAGCTTGTACTTATTCACTGTAGCTTGTATGATCAGTGTTTTATTTGATATTGTCTAAAAAGTCTCTATTTATTCAGAGTCATCTCCAATGCCACTGAATCGAAGGAGCTCTGGCCGACAGGGTGGTGTTCATGAATTGTCTGCTTTTGAGCAACTTGTTGTGGAATTAGTACGGCATGATGACAGCTGGCCTTTTCTGAAGCTGGTCTCTAAAATCCAGGTAATATAACTGGACTTTGTGAAATATGTTCATCTGTGTTATCTGATTTATCCTCCTGCAACTTTGAAGCTGTCAGAACACCTGTATTTTAAAAAGGCATACATCCTGGGTAGGTTAGTTTCTTGAAAGTAGTTAGCATAGTCCTGAATCCCTTGTAATCCTGTGACCAATTCTTTGTAAACAATGACAATATGATTAAGAAATCTGTATTTTTATTCTATATAATGAGTATATCTAGAGTTAATACAGCTAAATATCATCAGTAGTATTTTATGCATAACAGTGGTTCTCAAACTTCAGCATGATCAGAACCACGAGGAGGGCTTATTACAACAGATTCCTAAGCAGTCAGGATGATGGTGCATGCCTAAAATCCCAGTACCTTGGGAGGCTGAGGCAGGAGGATCACAAATTCAAGCCCAACCTGGGCAGTTTTTTAAGGCTGAAGATGAAAATGTAACTCAGTGGAGAGGTCCTTATATTAAAAAAAAAAAAAAATAGAATTCCTGGGCCCCACCCCAGAGCTTCTGAGCATCTGGGTTGCTGCCTGGGCATTTCACTGCATTTCTAACATGTCCTGGCCCAGAGACCATACTTTCAGAGGCACTGATAGAAAAGGGAAATGCTCTTAAAGAGCAGTGACAGCTCAGCCTAACTCAGGGATATGAAATGGTGCTGTAGTTATCTATATGTGTAGGCCGAATGTGATGTGCTGTACTGGAGAGAGAACACTACTCAGTTCAGTCATAGAAGTTATAACTGTATTATAGATACGGAGAAGAAACGAATGCTGATATGATTCTTTTTTTTAACAGGACCTAGGCAGGCACAGTGCTACTGAACTAAATCCCCAGTCCCGATTTGAATATTTCAGAAGAAGCATTTGACAGGGGAAGATGAGCAGAAATTAGAATGAGGGGGTTGAAACAGGGTCTCACTATGTACCCCAGGCTGGCCTCAAATTCACAGCCATCCCCCGTCTCGGCTCCCAAGTACTGTGTTTACAGGCATGTGCTACCATGCCCAGCCAGAATTTTTTTTAATAGAGAAGAAATATTAGGACTGCTCATTTGCACAAAAAAAAAAATCTCAAAAGTAAAAAATGAAATAAAGATGTTTTAGGAAACAAGGACTAAGTTAAACACCCAGAAATGAAAGTACGGGGAATGGTGGACAGTTTGAATGGAGTATAGACGTAGATACAACTGTATCATAAAGAGCCTCACTTGAGCTCAGTATGGTGGTACAGTACATGAGTGCAATCCAGCACTTGGGAGGCTGAGGCAGGAGAATCACTCCAGGTCAGCCTAGACTACATAGCAAGACTTTGTCTCACAAGCCAAAAAAAAAGTTTCACTTGTCACTGTTTAATGAATATTCCTGAGTAAAAATATTATCAGTATTCTACTTTGAGATTTCTGTAGCAAGAATGTAAAGAATTAATATTGAGTAGCAACTAATAAAAATTAAATTTTCATTTGACTCATTTTTCCTACATAGTTTTTATGCTGGATTAAGCTTTTTCACATACATTTTATTCCTTATTACAAATTCAGTAATGCTCATCAGGAAGATTTTATAGACATACATGTATCTATATGCAGATGGAGAGAACCATGAGCAAAACTTTAGATTTTTGCAGGATGTATCATGTACAGGTGTAAAATCCCTACAGTGAGTGTTCTGTGTGCCTAAAATGTAGCAATAAATGTTTTGCTATTTTTTTTAAAAGTTAACATTTTGAATAGCATCCAACAGGCTGCTACAACACTGTAATCGTTGAAAATGATTTAATGGAATACTAGTGCTCAGACTAACGTTAAGTTGCCTTTTTATTTGTACCGGGGATCAAACTCAGGTCCTTGTGCTTGCAAGGCAGGCGGCAGAGCCACTGAGCCAAATCCCTGGCTAAGTTGCTTTTTAAATGCAAAACCTTTATATATTTAACCACTTATTTCCAATAAATTTTTGTATGACAGATATATCGGAATTATTTTACAGGTACCAGACTACTATGACATCATTAAAAAGCCCATTGCCTTAAATATAATTCGTGAAAAAGTGAATAAATGTGAATATAAATTAGCATGTAAGTAATTTATGTTTTCCTTTGAAAATTATTTTTGAGGCTGTTTTTGTTTCAAATGATATATGCTAATGTAGTTATATAAATGACACCCAAAGAGCTCCTTACAATGTTTATCTCATTGCATAGGGACAAAAAAAGTAGATTAGGGTAGAATGTGTTAAAGATATTTTACAAAATGGGAAGGGTAGGGGAAAGGGAATAAGGGAAAAGAAAAAAAATATGAAAAAATGGAAATAAAGTGTTTGTAAATAGGGAGGGGAGGGAGGGGGTGAAGGGAGAGCACGGACAAGGGGAAAAAATGAGAACCAAGATCTGTCATGTAAAGGTACAAGATCCCAATGATGAACGTAATTGTACTGTATCCCTTAAATGTACCAATAAACTCAATAAAAGGGAAAAAAATTTTTAAAGATATTTTACAGAACCCTGTCTTACTAAAAGAAGTTCTGTATAATATGTATAATTACATAAGTGCACAATTTCAATAAAATAATTTTTTAAAATTTTTGGTACCAGGGATCAAACTCAGAACCTTGTGCTTGCAAGTCAGGCACGGTGCCACTGGACTAAATCCCTGGCCCATTTAAAAATATTTTATAGTTAAGCACTTTTAAGCCCCAGTTCTGCTAAGTTGTTTCAGAATCATCTCTTTTCTAAAGAAAATAGTGGGCTTACATTTTCTTAATAAAGTTTCCAGCTATGATGCCAGCAAAAATTGTATTTATAATTTACGTACCTTCATTCTAATCTTGTTTACTTCTTTTCATTTCTAGCTGAGTTTATTGATGATATCGAATTAATGTTTTCGAACTGCTTTGAATACAACCCTCGTAACACGAGTGAAGCCAAAGCTGGAACCAGGCTACAAGCATTTTTTCATCTTCAGGCTCAGAAGCTTGGACTCCATGTCACACACAGTGATGTGGACCATGTTAGCACACCAGCAGCTACAAAAAAGTCACGAATCTAATTTTTGTCCTTCTAAAGGATATATTTCAGGAAAAAAAAATTGTTCATGAAAATGGAACATTAAATCATGCTCTAAAGCAGATGTGTGTGTAAAGCAATAACAACTGATTGACCACTCGAAGTGTGGCCTGCACTAGTCTCAATTTTAATATTAAGCACTCAGGAGAATGTAGGAAAGATTTCCTTTGCTACAGTTTTGTTCCGTATCTAATAAGTTTGATAGATATATGGATACAGTACTGGTTTACAGAGGTTTTTGTACATTTTGAGATCATTCATGTGTGCAGATATCTTGGAAAATATTTTTTCACCCTATGATTTATTTTGTCATTGATTATTTTTAGAAGTTGTGGTATTAAGGGGGAAATATCTTCATAGATATGCCTTCTGTTATAGCACACTTTAGAAAAAAATGTGTATATGTCTTAAGAATTGTTTAATGAGCACATTCTTTCAACACTACACATGAATGGATCCAATTTTATATCCCTTGAAGTGCTGTACCAGTGCTGGCTGGACATATTAAGTCTGAGTTTATTAACTAGATATTTATTTAGCATTCAGAGTAATTTGTGAATTTGTTTTGTATTTATAAAATTTATACTTGGAAAATGTTAATTTTTTAAAAACATTTTACTGTTTTTTGTTTTATTTCTCTAATTTCTTCAATGTTCAGAAATTTCATCCTCCCTTTCCCCTGACAGTTCTTTCAGTTTTACAGAACTGTTTTACAAGTTTCTATGTACAACTTTTTAAGTGTACAAATAAAATGACTTTTTTTTTCAAGCATCCCTACTTTCTGGAATTCTTACACATCAAAATTAGGCTTGAAGGGCCAGGGATTTGGCTTAGTGGTTCCACCACCTGCCTTGTAAGTGCAAGGACCCAAGTTTGATTCCCAGTACCAAAAAAAGAAGAAAAAATTAGGCTTCTGCATGTGATATGTACAAATCATAGGAACAAATACGATATTGTGCCTGAGTCTCCAAAGCAGTAATTTGCATCTTTTTTTTTGGCCCAGATCCTTCAAGAGTAAGAAAACTTTCACTAATTCCTGTAACATTCTATAATTCTTAAGTTGTAAGAATTCTTGTATAAATTCTTAAGTTGGAAGGAAGAAAGTTTGGTAGTTAAGAAGCTGTATTAAGAATCCTAGTTAAGGAGCTATACTATTTAGCTTTCCATTGCTAGGACAAATACCTGATACAACTTGAAGGAGAAAGAGTTATTTTGGTTCACAGCTTCAGAGGTTTCAGTCCATGATCTGCTGCCTCCAGGGCAGAAACATCGCAGCAGACAAGTGTGACAGAGGAAAGCTGCTCAACTCGTCACATCCTGGGAGCAGAGAGCAGGGGAAGAGCCAGAGGCCAGATATAGCTCCCAGGGTCACACTCCTGTGTGCAAAAGTGTGCTTTGCTAATTTCCTAGGCATCTCTTGAGCCAGTCAGGTTGACAATCATAATGAACTCTCTCAAGTCCACCCTTGTCAATCTGACACCAAAACATTTTAATTTTTGTTGCTGGACTGTCCTTGGTTTAATCTCTGGATTATCACCCAAATCTTCCTGATACAGTTGCACCCTAGCTTCTGTGTCTCTAACAACCCACAGACATTCTCATCTTCATAACATCAGAGAAACAGCTCATCAAATCAACAGCAATGCTTTACCCCAACTGATACAATCAGCAACACATTAAGATCAAGCACAACTTGGACACTGACCCCCTGTGGTAGTCACTAGTCTATCACCCTTAAATCATTTGAAATAAATTGAAATCAAGAAGCAGTCCAAAACATGTCTGCAGTGAACAAACTTTTCAATATAGTATATTAACCATTTAATGGCTCAGACAGAGTGAGGATGCAAGACCCCTGATCTCAGCTGATTGCTGAACCCCCTGACGCTGACTGACCTCGGGCTGCAAGGCCCAGATTGAGTTCCCCATCCTTCTGAATGGTTGAACTCTGCAACGTTCTATTACAGGTTTCCCACGCCCTTTCTTTAAAGATGTTCAAAGTTGGGAACTCAGAAAAATACACTTGATGACCACCTCTGTCTTTGCAGAGTGGGTCCAAAGACTTGCACAGTCAGGAGGTCTGAGAGTGTAGGGGGGTGCTTATGGGGGTTCAGGGGCGCCCACGCGGCTACCTTCCCGGCGCTTGAGCGATGGCTGCTGGGTCGGGAGCAGGCGTGGTTCTCCTTCCCGTGGTGGATCAGGCCCCCTGACACCAAAACACACTTTAAGCCGTACTTAATTTCCAAACAGAGACAATAGCAAGGTCTCAACAGTTCTCAAAGTACAAGTCCAAAGACTTCTTTGAGACTTAAGGCAAACACTTAGCTGTTAGTGCCTATAAAATAAAAACACAGGACAGGGCCAGACTTCTGTGTGTCACAGCCTTGGCTTTGGATTTTAAGGGCACGAAGGAGAATTAACAGCGCCACAAGAATCCAACTGGAAGTGCCCAGGAAATGAAAGCTCAGAACAATGTGTTTTAGAATCTCTATGTGCTGTGAGAATTGGACATTCACAGCCAAAATATGAAGTTTGAACAAAACCCAATGAAAGATTAACAAATTCAACAAAAATTAGCTCAAATTGAATAGCTGATTTAACTCTAAAGCATAAAACTATTTAACTTTTAGAGACAGGAGAAAATCTTAGAATTACTCCAAGCAAAAGTTCTTAAACTTGATAGTAAAATTAGAATCTAAAACAAAATCAGTATATTGGACTTCATACAAATTAAAATTTGCAAAATCCCATATGAAGAGGATGAAAAAGCAACCTAAAGACTCCAAGGAAATTGCTATAAGCCATATATGACAAGATCCTAGTATCTAAAGGATATAAAGAAGTCTAAAAAGTCTACATTTAAAAAACCCAAATAGGGCCGGGGATTTAGCTCAGTGGTTCATTGGCCTGCCTTGTAAGCGCAATCCCCAGTACCAAAAAAAAAAAAAAAAAAAAAAAAACCCAAATAAAGGCTGGGCATGGTGGCACATGCCTGTAATCCCAGCACTTGGGAAGCTGAGGCAGGAGGATCGCTGTGAGTTCAACACCAGCCTGGGCTACATAGTGAGTTTCATAGTGAGACCCTGTCTCAAAAAAAAGAAAGCCCAAATAGCCAGGCATGGTGGCATACACTTGTAATCCCAGCATTCGGGAGGCTGAGGCAGGAGGATTGCTGTGAGTTCGACATGAGCCTGGGCTACATAGTGAGTTCCAGGTCAGTCTCAACTACAATGTGAGACCCTGTCTCAAAAAAACCAACTGGAAAAAGCAAAACAGGGACAAATATACACCAAAGTATATACTGACAAAAAACAAAAACAAAAACAAAAAAAACCTGTGAAAAGATGCTCAATAGCATTAGTCATTAGGGAAATAAAAAATCAAAAACAGTGATATATTACATATAAAATAATAGTGTTGGCAAACAAGAAAAATAAAAATAAAAAGCTGGGTATGGTGGTGCATGCAAGTAATCCCAGTACTTGGGAGGCTGAGGTAGAATGACCACTATCAGTTCAAGGCCAGCCTAGACTATATAGTGAGACTCTGTCTCTAAAAAAAAATTCTTCTGAGAGACTCAAAAGTATAAACAAGTCTGTAAAATTTAAGGTGTTGATTCAAGCATTTGACCTGCTTTTATTAGAAAAATATTACCTAACAAGTTCCCCATGATAAAAGTAAATGTATACCTAAATGTACCAATAAAAGAATTTAAGGGAAAAAAAGAAATTTATTACCTATTTCCCCAATGAAATGAAAAGTTTAATGAATTGTGATTGTCCAGAAAACAGTAAATATGCAAAATAGAAACACACCTGGTTGCCAGGTGTGATGGCACAAGCCTATAATCCCAGCTTCTCAGGAGGCTGAGGCAAGAGGACCACTGTGAGCTCAAGGCTAGCCTGCACTACATAGTAAAACTCTGCCTAAATTTTAAAAAAATACACACACAAACATACACACACACACACACATACACCTGGTATGTAATTTTTCAAATTCCTTTAGCAAAATGAAATCGTGGTGCATAAATCCTATTTTAAGCAGCTCTTTTCACTTAGTATAATACAGTGGTACCTCAGTTTTTTAACTTAATTCCATAATTCTGGTCACAAACCAAATTGGATGAGAATTTAATCCAATTTCCCCAAAAGGTCAACATTGAACCTGACCATTGGATTTGATTCAGTTCACATCCTATTTGGTTTGCTTTTTTGTTTTTGTTTGTTGTTGTTGTTGTTGTTGTTGTTGTTTGGTTTTTTTGAGACAGGGTCTCACTATGTAGTTGAGACTGACCTGGAACTCACTATGTAGCCCAGGCTGGTGTCGAACTCACAGCGATCCTCCTGCCTCAGCCTCCCAAGTGCTGGGATTACAGGCATGCACCACCACACCCGGCTTCATCCTATTTGGTTTGCGACCAGAATTGTGGAAAGAAGTAAGTTCATGAACTAAGGTACCACTATACCTAGCAGATTTCTGTATTCACCTACACACTGCCCAGTACCCCACTGCCTCGCTCAGAAACCTGCTCTCAGAGACCCTAGTCTTGGATATATAACCACTTAAGTGATGACACTTAGTTTGAAGAAAATTATAATCCCTTGGTATATTGTGGCTAATGGTTATAATTAATTCATACTTCACTAACTGGTAAGACTATAGCAGTGGCAAACTGATAAGCCATATAATACCTAGAGCAGCAACTAAAAAAGCTACAAAGAGAGATACCAAAAACACTACAGATGAATCAAAATGAAATTCTAAAAACATTCAAGTAACCCATAGGAAGACAGGAAAAAGAAAAGAGGGGCTCAACAAACAAAACAATGGACCTGATACAGAAAAGAAAATTTAAAAAAAAAATAGCAAGCCAGGTATTGTGGTGCACACCTGTAATTCCAGCGCTAGCAGGGCTGAGGCAGGAGGATCACCAAAGTTTGAAGCCAGCCTGCTTCATAGTTCATAGCCTGCCTGAACAATATAGCAAGACCTGGTCTCAAAAAACAAACTATACCATGTGAACCTATTTATATTTTTAGTTTTTCACACCAGAGAAACTATTCTGTATGTACTCAAGTGTATATTTATTTCACTTAAGAGTATAGCCTCTTTTTTTTTTTTTTTTTTTTTTTTTTGTACCAGGGATCAAACTCGGGACCTTGTACTTGCAAAGCAGGTGGCAGAACCACTGTAGTTTCTCATTCTTTATGACTGATTAGTACTCCACTTTACAGAAAAACCACATTTTTATCCAGTCTCCAGTTGATGGTCAATTGGGCTGTTTCCAAGTTTTAGCTTCTATAAACTGTGCTGTTATGAACACGGGTGCACATATATCACTGTGGCATGATTATTTTGGATAGTGGGGTCAAATGGGACCTCTGATCCTAGTTCTTTGAGGTATCTCCATGTTGATTTCCACAGTGGTTGCACCAGTCTGCACTCCCACCAACAATGGAGCAGGGTTCCTTTCTCCCCGCAACCCCATCAGCATTTGTTATTGGGTTATTTCTTGATAGCAGCCATTCTTTGTGGGGTGAGGTGGAATCTCAGTGGGGTTTTCATCTGCATCTTTCGAATGACCAGTGATGAACATTTTTTTCAAATGGTATAATTGATAGTGTGAAATAGGAAGAAAATGGCTAAAGGAGAAGTGGGTATGGGAAAGGCAAG